CATGAGTCGGGAAAACGTTTCAATTTCTACGTTATTTAACTATTTGACTAAATTAGAAACCAAACATATGCTTTACAATTTAACTACAATAACGACGTGGTATTCGCATGTCTTTAGTCAATTTAAAGTATGATTGATTGTATTTATCAGGTGAAAGCCATTAAGCGATCCGGAAGCGCCTTGAGCCAGCCAGTGACAATTGGAAATGTCGCAGAATTCAGCTGGGAGGATCTTGTAGAGGACACCGAGAAGATTATGCCACTCTCAATCAGTTGCATCTCGGCAATGATGCCTTCGGTCAAAGGGGCCAAGAGAGGAAGAACAAAAGGAAAGAAAGGCTCTCGGAGGTACAACATGTAGTACTGATAAGTGATAACCTGAATACATTTCACACTGATCATAGTTATGTACTTTGGGGGATAAAGCGGGGTCATTGAAAAGTAAGAGAGATTGTGGGCGCTTTCCTTCACATAAGAAATTATAAATTAACATTACACAGATAAACTAAACACATGCAAAAGGACAATTTAGTGTCGCACAATACGTAATTATGTAAATATATGATTTTGTGGCATTAAGATAGAGACGGGAGAAGTTAGAGGAACTCAACAACTGAATTAATATTTCGAATCTGATAGCCTTAATTGGCAGTCCGAGGTTTTGTGTGTCATGTTATTGGACTTTTTTTTTTGGGGGGGGGGGGAGGGTACAACAACCAAATTCTGTTTCCCAAGCAATAATTTGCGGTGAAAAGTACTTTATACGCTTCTTATAAGAAAGATAATAACGTAAACGATCTTATTTTTCTTATCCATTAAAAGGGGACTATCCGATAAAGAGGCAAAGGAAATCATCGACCGCAGAATGGGAATTATACTAGCCATGGCATTATACACCCACTCGCCACGCAGCTTCCAATTTGTCCAGGCGACCATGGGAATAGAACTGTGGCGCCAAGGAGTGTCCCAGAAAGTCTTCCGGACGCTCAATCACAGTGGCATCACCATGGGAGCAGAGCGCGTCAGGTTCCATGTCGATAGAATGGCGGAAAATCATGACCAACAACTTAAAGAGTGGAAGTGTACAATTGAGGTGAAGAAATATAGGGTGTACTTGAGTCATACACCATTTTGAATATTCACAGTAATTAACAAAATTATGTACATCCATACTAGTCGTCTACTATGTTCTTTTTTCTGAAAGTTGTTCGTATTAAAATCTATAAAGCTCTTTATTCCCACAGCTCGTCCCCTTAGTAAGAACTTGGCAGTATCGAGATATAGTTTGAGGAAATGACCGCTTCCTCTTGTAGCAATGTATGACTTTTTTTTTACTCTAGATAACACGAAAACACTAAAAAAAAAAATCGGTGTTTCCTTCTCAATTAATATTATGCTGAAATGAATTGACATGTGGATAATACGAAATCCCTCTCTCCCTAAATTGATCAGGAAGCGCCGAGCATGACAATACGTCGGAAGCTAAAGTTCATTACCGGTCCTCCTACATTTGGACTCTGTATTGACAACGTGCAGAAGGGATGTGAAGCAAAACATCAAGGCAGAACACATAGCAACAAATTCCTCCTTCAGACGATGTGCTACGCGGCAAGGGACAGGGTGCCAGCTTCTTCGTCATCCTCGACAGTGAGCGATGCAGAGGACTTAGACCCGTTTAGCTTCTTGCCCTCACCGGAAGTCTTCAACCGCCAGCGAATGCGCTTAGTAGATGTGGTATCGAACATCATGGGGAGGCATATGGGCTTTTTAGAGAGCTTATCTCCTGACCTTCCCATCACACAAGAACACGCACAAACAGCTGCCATGGCTAAGAAGTCTGAAATGGTGAGAATTTGACCAGGGGTGCAGCTATAGAGGCCTTATTCAATATACAACTCACAGTCTTTTTTTAATTTGTTTGTTTTAACTTGAATCTGAATTATAGTGCCCGATTTGAGTACTTCAAATTGTATGCCTTAGTTGTTTATCCAGTACCAACTTGACAAATTAAATGTTCACTTCGCGTTGATAATGTAATATCTAATGATTAGAAGTATAACTTTAAACTACCTTCATACTGAGAGAAACCAGGAAAATAGTGGGCATACTGCTATAAGTTCAGATTATATTATCAAAGAAAAATAGATGTTGACATTCAGATAATAATTACCTATAATACAGGTAACAATTGGAGTTGTGAACGCCAATCCTAGTACCACGCAGGGGACAATTTCAGTCCTGGAGCGCCTCCAGACCTATGTGCCTGTTACCGAAGGAACACCAACACAGACCCTCGTCAGTGGCGACGGGCTGACAATCGAACGCATATTACACGCCCAGAGAGCGCGAAGTAACGGGGAACGATGGGAGGACAGACTCGACGCATTCTTTGCAACACCTCAGGAGTTCCACAAGGAGATCCTCCTATTGCAGGTCAGTTTGAAAGGAAGAACATTCTCACTGGTGCAGCCCAATATAATTCTTAAGTGAGATGATATTCGAGTCTAAAAGTCATGTTATCATCTTAATTGGAGGGTTAATAGCATGGGCGTCATGCCCCCCCCCTCCCACGGTCTTGTTAAAATAATGCCTACATGGACCACAGTAAATACGTGTTGGCAAATTACAATTGATCAAATAAAAGAGTTTTCACCGTCTTATATGACCTTTTATGCTCTGTGTCTCAAAACGTGAATGACAATGTCGATTAGGAAAAATTATATTGCAGTTCAATAAAAAGATAGGGTTAGGTGTCAAATTCTCTTCATTTGTCGATTAATCAAAACAGGACGTGTAAATTGCAAAGTCAGAGCCAGAAACTGAAATGATCGCTTGTAAATGATATCATTGAAAAATATGTCATAAATCACGTTATTCAGATATATTGCCAATCTTTATAATAGGACTCGAACAATGTGTTCTTCAGAGGTCAAAGTATTTCTGCACGAGGAACACTTGCACAACTGAAATGCGACTTCAATCACCATTCCTTCAAAAAAGACGTGATGCAAAATGTTCAGCATGTCTGGGATATGTACGAGGTAAGCCGTATTTGTGTGAGTGTGTGTATGTGTGTGTGCGTGTGTGTGTGTGTGTGTGTGTGCGTTTGTTGCTTTTGCTTGTGTTCATGTGAAGGGGGGAGGGGTGTTGATGAATTTCCCTCAAGTAACTGAAATTGGAGAAAGACGTTTCAAAATGTGGATTGGAATGGCGACAATTATTCAAGATTAAAGCTTATACTGACAAAAATGATGATGGAAATGTCAGTAAAAGGAGAAAGGGGGGGGGGGGTTACGATGTTTTGATAGTTTAAGAATGATCCCAGCATAACTTAAAAGTCACATTATAATAATCATTTTTATAATTTATGCAGTTCGTGACCGAGGCGTACACTCTCCTTTGTGCATTGAAGTTCTGTGGAACGTCATCCCTAAACGACATCCCTGATAGTTTCCCTGCTAAAGGAACGACAGAGGAACAACTCCAATGGGTAAAGAGTGTGGCACAACAAGTTGTGGACTACATATACCAGGAGCCCGATAAGTCATCAGTTCAAGTAGCTGCAGAAGCATACAAGAATGAGGCCTCTGAAGGAACAGATGATGCACTAGGCTATTGCCTCTGCAAATCTGGTAGGCATGTCCATCAGTACCAGTATCTATTCTTTTGCACTTTTAACTGAATATGCTCCCGTTTCATTATATGATAAAAGCTTCCAAAATCAAGTGACAATTAATGCCATACCTAATGGTAAATAAGTTACAAGCTGAATTGTACACTATATCGATTTTTTTCCAAAGCCATTACTAACATAATTATCTTAAACTGCATTTTAAACCTCCCAAATTCGTTTTGGAGACGGGCGTTGCATTTTAAAAGTGGACAATAGAAGAAAAAGAAGATATCCTTCAAACACATATCACTCTATCAGTTAGGGGATGAATTTAATAATGTTTTCTCTAACTTCTGTTGAAAGAAAATTGAGTTGTATTCGACAAGACTGATACATGTTTTTCCAACCTTTTAAAATAATTAATACAGAAAAGAATGACGACATGGTGCTGTGTTGCAGTTCAACATGTCACAAGGCTTGGTTTCACCTTAGTTGTGTTGGGTTGACAGCTGCTCCAGACAAAGAGAAAGACTGGTATTGCAGCGCCGACTGTGAGAGTGGTCCGAGTTACATCTACTGTGTGTGCCAGCGGAAAGTCGATCCAGAGGGCAACACAAACATGGCGCAGTGCGCATTGAAAGGAAACTGCAGGGGTCATGAATGGTATCACCACAGATGCATTGGTCTTCAGTTGACTGATCTCTTACCCGGTAAGAATATTGTAATTGTTCATAGTTACAAGGTTTCAGGAATATTATAAATACACAATTTCAAATATTAACATTTTAGCAAGTTTGGATAACCCACTAAATAGAACTAATCCTGCAACGTTTGGTGTCCCTATCTGGATAAAACTCTACCAGAATCTGCGATATGCAAGCCAAAACTCTATTCGTGGACTATATATTCCATATTCCCATTTTTTCCATGGATGTCAAAAGTCTAGTTGATGAGGTTCGATCATAAATTATACAAGCATCTTATTAGCCCTAACCGTACCTTAGAATAAGAAGAGGGAACAAATTTTCACAAATCCATTAGTTCCAATGCATTCCATATATATATCTTCGCAGAGAAGTGGTATTGCAGTGAAGAATGCGCCCTTGATTCTCAAAACGACGACCATGTGCTGAACCACAGTAGAGCTCTCGTTCTGGAAGGATTGCGACATCTAGCCAGGAGAGCAGCAGTTCGGGCTGGAAATGGACCAGTCATGGTTGAAGACTGGAAAATCGATCTCATAACTTTCTGGTCAAAGAGACACCCAAAGTACCTCATCAATGCCCACTACTTTTTAGCATGTGAGTCTGGAATTTGAAGACTTATAAGATTTTACATTGATAAGATATTCATTTGACTCGATGCGAGAATAACTGACAGGACAAGACTTCATGACACTCACGATAAACTTATTATTATGTGCCAAAAATATATTCTGTGTGCCACATCATCACATCATCTTTTAGACCCACTTCCACTTGAAATGCACATAGAATACGTCCGTTTCATTTGTGATTAGGTGTACTAGACAACGAATCCTCCAGGATGTGCATATTGTGAGTTTGGGGATAAACAGATTAAGCATTGTTTAAGAGATAGGAGATTTGTGCCATTTGCCGAAAGAAGGACGCTGGCAAACACACAATTAATAAAGTGTATACTGATGAACGGTCATAATGATGGCATGTGCATTCAAACTAATAGTGACCTAGCTAGTTAACGTTAAAGGGATGGTGCCCATGCGATCCTTTGAACATCATGAAATGATCCTCGAACGAGGGGTTTGAAAAGTAGAAAGTATTTCCTTGGTCATGTTGGTGAAATGTTGGTTTTAGATTTCGCAAATTGTTTTTTCATGGCATCAGGTATCGGTGGATTTGCTCCTTCTGACATCAGGAACAATTTGATCTGGAACAGAGTCATCAATGTCACTGGCAAGCCCGGAGGAAACATAGGGATGGACCTTGGTACTGAGCACATTAACATGGACTACAAGGGTATGTCAGTTGCAATGTTTGACGCATTTTGCGTTGTGCGTAGGTGACGTGATATGCAATTATAAATCAAGGTTGATTTGATCTTCTCAACAATTATATTTTAACTGTTTTTTTTTCTGTATCAATTTTTGCAGGTATGATCGACTTCGCTCATGGAAATGTGACTGAGAAACACGCGCAGAGATGTGCCAAGATGTCAGGACCATTTGGTAGGTACCTGGATATCATGTTCAGTGATGCCGGGATCGTCTCCATGAAGACGCCAACTAGGAAGAAAGCAGAGGATGTATACAAACAAGATGTTGCATTGTTTGTGGATGAGAACGATGGATTTGGACTGTTTGAATACTTGCCCTTCAGACAACACAAAGGCTTTGAAGGGTTCGACCATAAAGAGGTGTTGCGAAATCCAAAGAACCTTGGTAAAAAGCTGAAAGCACTTTCTACGAGAATGGATGCACAGCGTCGCAGTGTTAAATTGTGCACTGACTCATAGAAATGGATACATGCTATGGGTCCCGTATTACTTAGCACTGTCGCAAACTGAGCAGCATGACATCACCTGTACATTGTCCTTTTCCATGCCATGCACGAAGAGCGTGTTCAACACCGATTTCCGGATGCAGCGGGATGATTGGACAAGGTCCCTCATGTCTTCATCAACCCATCTCTTGTTGACTGAAAAGGGTGGCAGATACATAATGGCTTTTCCGGGTCTTCCATCCCTCGCGCATCGGCCTGTTTCTTGCCAATAGCAGAGGACATCACTAGGGCATCCCCAGTGGATAACCTGATCAATGTCGGCGATGTCGACACCCAAACCGAATGCTATTGTTGCTACAACGCAGCGCAGCTTAGAACCTTCGGTGGAAAAGTTACGACATATTCGTTCCTGACTCTTTGAGTCCGTTGATGCGTGGTACATTTCGATCAGTCTACTTTCCACACTGCAAGACTGCCCTGGTCCTGGAGCATGGGCGGACTCGGCGAGGCTTTCGTTGAGCCATGTGTAGAGTTCAGCAACGTGGTCGATTTGTCTGAAAGAACAATACTTAGTGACATTATTAAGGATATTGAAGCTAATCCACGTGTGCCTCTTTTAAGATCCAGTCAACAATAGTGAAAGTGATATAAATTGTAACTGAACGGAAAACCGTTTATTGAGCAAAGTAACGATTAACCGTAACTCCTTATGAAATTGACCCCTTATAATGTGAACATAATTCTTTATATTGCAAAACGTTAAACGTAAGAATGAACGCATCGCTGTCATAAAGATTCGCCTAAAGTTTTGACATACTAGTTAATTGAAAATGAAAACCTTCATAAAACTTAATTCCGTAAGAAAAATGAAAATTGCGTTTTAAAATTTATTTACCGTGCATAAATGATGGTTTTTGCAGCATCGACACCCTTCTCCTTTAATTCATCCAAGTACCATCCAATGGCTTCAAACTTGTCCTTCACCGGAACCACTGATAGATGAATGTTTGGTCTGTGGATAGAACAATTAAAGGTACATGAACTCAGTCATATCCACAGAGCTATTCATATATTCCTTAAAAGTCTCCTTACACACAAGATTTCATTAAATGTCCGTATGTAGCCTAATAGTTTATGACATTATGACTCTCTGCTGTAGACAATTAATGTGCCTCAACTGATAACGAGTATTACACAGGTTTCTGTCCGATTTAAAGTTCTGTCAATTCCCTTATGATTCATTTATGATATTCAAAAGGGCCTATCCGAGTAATTATGAAACCCTGGACCCTGTGGTATAAAAGCTGATATCAAACCCAATTCAGCAACTCAAACATAAGTCTCGAAATTCGCGATTTTGATTGGCTAATACCCTGATACCGGACTCATGTTTGAATTCCTAACAAACAAAACAAAATATAACAAATAAATAAATTAAATGAAAGAGAATAATAACAATGAAAGTAACAACAATAATAGTCATCGACATCATAATAATGATAATTAAAAAATAATAATAATAATAATAATAACAACAATAAAAATAATAATAATCTAATGTTAATAAATGCATAAATAAATACATAAAGATATTGACTGCATTTTACTGATATTTTGTATCATGCAGAATGTAGATTTGCGAGCGCGCAAGTTCTCCTTCCGCCCCCTGTTGAACCCTGTCCCTATTAAAATCTTTGATATACCCCTGATCACTCTTAACCATATTTATTATTTATAAATGTTCCTAGTCGCAACCCTGCAGGGCTGTATTCTTATTTTGTTTTTGCTGTCTGATTTTCATTTTCCTTTAAGATTTCTCACATAATTATTATTACAATAAGGGAAGAGAAGTTCAGTAGTAGATACTATGTATGTATACTATGATCATGATCAATTGACTTGAAGAAATCATTAATAATGATCATTCACATTAACTGCTTATGATGATAAGGTATAACCAACCTGTTGGGAATAGCGGCGAATATTTCTACTTCTTCCCTGCGGAGATTCAGGTTTTGAAGTATTTCTGTGACCATTCTGTTTGTTGCCGTGGCTGTAAGAAGCATTATAGGGCATGCCAGCCTGGATGTCAAAGATGTGGTCCGGAGGTACTCCTCCCTGAATGTAAGACCCCTGTAAGATGAACACAAATGATTGGTAAAATTGACTCGTTTGACCTATTTACCTATCAGTGAATGTTGTGAATTTGATAATGTGTAATTATGGTTTATAATTAGTGTCTTCATGTGAAAGTGCACATCCCACTGTGCATGAGTGAAGTAAACTGAGCTCAGAAAACGTAGCTCCTTGTTAATATTTATGAAAATGACATTGGTGCAGAGTATATGTATAGGCCTTCATTATGTAAACGATGAAGAGGAAATACCTATTTTGTCTTATATGAATATGTCACATTTTGAAGGCGCATTTTGCAAACTCGCTTGCTGTTTAAGACTTTCACGCAGCTTCATAATGCAGAGCTATCTTGAATGGGCCCATGTAATCACATGATTAGCAGAAACAAAAGTGATAAGCTTTTAAAAGACATGTATTTTGTATGATAATGGCTTGAAATATATAAATAATTTTCAAGAACATGCCATTTTGTAAAGCAGTGAACCTCATCTAGCACCAGCAACGAAATCCTGTTTTGAAACTTCCGCACCCATTGCCACCACTTAGGGGACAGGATGGCCTCCGGGGAAGTAAAAACGAGGTCTGTCCCTCCATTCATCAGGTCTGTTTAATAAATGAAGAAATAACAGGAACGTTGTGATCGATGCATTCATGTCAAATTCTATCGAGTGCATTCTGTATATAAACACGTGAAATAATCACATCCCACATCTATTCCACTTGTATTTCTTATCAACAGATACAACAAGAACTATATTGATATCGGGTGTACATAGAGGACAACGCCATGCGTTTTACATCTGTGGTGTTAATTCAACACCCAATGGTGTTATTCTAACATTTTTGGTGTTATGTCCAAACTCTAAGGTAGTAATTTTAATACCTGAAGGTGTAGTCCTCTACTAAAACCGACTGGTGTCAATTTTAACACCCCAGTTTTTACAGTGTATGTCGTCTATCTATTTTATTGTACATCGGATTTGATGTTTTGCATTATCACTTCAATAATAATAATGTTATACACTATTACCATATATTTAACCATAACTGTGGCAAGAAGAAGCACTATTTGTTGTGATGTAAATTATGGTAATGCTATTACGCCCTACCTATACAAGTGATGACGATCCTTAATGTATAATTTTATTGCATCATTTGGGTAAAGAATTTTCTACCGAGGAGAATGATACTAATTAGATCTTTGAATTTGATTGAGTAGTGTTGATTCATGTCGTTTCTTTAAATAAAGTCATTTTCAAATTTCGAATGTTCGGGGGGAGCCCATTGATGCATGCAAACAAAAGAAAAACTGAAATCGGAAAACGGACGCATGTTACACGCCATTCCCGACACAAGTACTCCTATATATTGGTCGCTAAAAGCATGCGAAATTTGAAAATGATTGTATTAAAAGAAACGGGCATAGAATCAAAATTACTGAACCATTTACAACAATCTTGGCATCATTCTCTTTGGTCTTTGGTAGAAAATGATTTATCCAATAATGTAAAACCAAATATGTAGCTTTTGAATTAAGGCAAGCATACTGAAAAATCTTCGTTCCACTTTATTTCTGGGACACCTGGTATAATCCGCTGTATGACCCACAACGTGTAAAATCTCTCGTTGCTGTTTGAATTACCGTTTTCAGTCTCCCTGTCCATGTCATGACCTGAATGGCCAAGAATGGCCGCAGTTCTGATGCCAAGATTCTTCCATCTGCGCACCTGGTCCAGCATTAGACTTTTAAGCGGACTTACTACGAGGGTTATGTGTGTTTTCTGTGGATTCAGCTGTAAAAAAAAAAAAAAAGAAGAAGATTAATGCATGCACAGGTTTTAGTTTATCATACATTTGTAAAGGTAACTATATAACTGTGTTTGTTAGTTATATATTTTAGACAGTGAATATGAATGTTATTAGTTTCTTCAATTTTCTTTTTGGTTAAATATAATCATATTCACTATGCTGCAGGATGGGAATGGGGAGGGGGGGGGGGGGGGCTGGTCCCACCAATCTTATTTTATTGATTATTATTATATCTTTAAGTGATCATTTTAAGACCGATTGTGATTGGGACAAAACCAGTACATTTTCCAGCAGCTCTGCCTAATTTTGAAACCTTAATTTTATATTTTATTTTCATTCATTTATGTGTGTTATTGTTTGTTTTTTTGTATTTGTTTTTGTTTTTTGTTTTTTTTGGCTGGTCTTGCATCCACATAATTATGGGAAGTATGCCGTTCCGTTCCTTATTTGGGCCTGGTATCTCATTGCATGATCAGACGGACTTTTTAAGGCCCGCTATCCGATGAATGTATACTGTATGCATGCAAATAAAATAATGATCTGAAATTAGACCAGCATGAATGAATCTCGATCGTCTCATTCCTTTTTGCATTCATGTAAAATGAGTGGGTCGGGAGCACCTAACCCGTGGCGTGCATATACTTATGACACATTTGGAAAAGATTGTGGAGGTTGTATAACTCCCCCCGGGGGGGGGGGGGACTGTTATTTTGACGGGGGTGTGCCGCTACCAATTCCAAAACGGAGGGGGGGGGGGCTAAGGAGCGGCAAAGAAGATCAAAACGATGGCCTTGAGAACGGCCTCCCCCAAAAAACAACTACAACAACACAAAATGAGAGTTTACTTTACACCCCTTTACACCCATGACAGAGCCTTATTCCATCAGGATACGTGCAAGAGACCCACCTCTCCGACAAGCAAACGAACAAACTAACAAAAACCTTGTTGTTCAACTTGTTGGTGATTTTTTTTTCTTCAAAAAATAAATAAGTGAGGTGGAGAGGTAGGTAAAAACCAACAAACGACTCCAAAACAAACTGACAAGAAAAATGAAAGGTCTCACATCGACTAAAACACCAAAAAGTCGCATATAATCTTAAAAATACAAGTTAAACCTCAAATCGTATATAGGAGGGGGGACATTTGATATTTTGTCCCCCTCTAAAAAAATCATGAAACACTGGCAAAAAAAAAAAAAAAAAAAAAAGGTCAAACATACCCCTAGTTTGTATATATACGGCAATGCCTTAATATTAACTTATACAAAATCATATTAAACGGCGCTTGTTTTCTGTTGCATGTTCCATTCAAGAAAGCTGATTAACAAAAAATATTAAGACAATAAAAAAAACGACAGCTACATTTAAAAACACAATATGCCTACTTTGTTCAAAAGTGGTGCGTGGAGGGCATAAATCAAACTTTTTCCGTATCCAGTGGGAAGGATCCCCATGGTGTGATTTCCTTTGGCAGCGCTTATGAGCATGGACTCCTGTTTTTGTTTCAGTACAAAAGTACTTCCGAGCACATCATCCACAACTTCTTTGAGCATTCTCGTTTCCATGGCAGTTTCTACGTACGCTGAATAATTTCTGCCTGAATCATGAATGAATCTGGGCGATTACGCTATAAATTTACATTGCACACAGTATAGACGTCGCGTCGTCTGCTACAGCAGTTGCTTCCGCGCGTGCTACTCGGGCGATCTCGTCACGTGACTTGACCTTCACAGAGTTGCGATTACCTTCCGGTTCATATACAGCGATTACATGAGATCGAGCCCCATAGGACTGCACACAACTTTGTTCGCTGTGTGAAGGACTTTACTGATAAAAAGGCAGGATTAGGTGAGTTTTTAACATTTTTATTTAAAAATAAATAGAGCTGCATGAAGCTCATGTAATACCGAACACCCAGAACACACTCCCAAGGTGATAAAGGTTATGATAGAATAGATATTCGTGTCGTCGGCAAATGTGTAGGGGGCTCAGCGGCTTTTTGGAGCAAGCGGGGTACATCCCCGAGCTTCGCTCGGGGATGTGTATATTTACGCTAGGCCTAGTCTAGTACTAGTAGGTATAGACTAGATCTAGACCCAACTGAGTAACTCCCAGTAGACCTCGGCTCTAGTCTAGACTAGATTATAGGTCCACATCTAGGAGTAGTCTAGGACTAGTCCAGCAGAAGAGAGCTGCAGACTGCAGTATGCTAGAGCCTTAGATCTAGACCTAGTAATAGTTGGAGAGGCTAGGTCTACATCTTCCCTAGATCTAGTATCAAGTATCATTATCAAGTAGATCTAGATCTAGGCCGAGAACTTAGATCTAGACCTAGACTAAATCTAGAGTCTAGAGGTCTACATCTAGACTAGATCTAAATGTAACTTGGGTCTAACAGCAACACTCTAGACCATCTACTCTCTAGAGTCCAGACTAATCTTCTTCTTCATAAAATATTAACGTCAAAACAATGATCCTGTTGAGTGTTGTCTGTTGTCTTGTTGATTTTTAATTTTATTATCAACAAAAACAAGACAAGGGCCGCTAAATAAATAGATAGATCTAGGCCTAGATCTAGGCCCTAGAATAGAGGCCCTAGGCCTAGTATATTGTATATAACCCCAAGACTATTGCAAGAATAAACTAGATTAATGAGTTTGTACCTGCCCTAACCGTCGGTAGAAAATTCCTATTGAACCTGCATGAATTTATATGAATGGGACTGAAATTATTGAACCAGTGCAATTCGTCCACTTTTTAGCCCAGTTGGGGGTGATATCAATTGATATTATCTAAAGTTTTGTTTAGTTAAACACAAATGTAATTCTATAAAAATGACAGGAACACTTTTCTTCTTCCAAAATAAAAGATTTTTTATCAACAGAATTAATATTTTGAAAGAAAAACGGAATTTACTTACTTTTTCAAGGACTCTCTGGCAGTAGTTTAGCAAGCAATTTTGTGATCGATTTACCCCAAATTGACTAGCCTTGATTGCAGACACCTAAAAATCTATTTTAGCTTAAAATCGATTTGATGAAACAGCTCACACGTATCGGTTTTAAGCTAAAACTGATTCGGCCTTAAAATTGATTTTTAAAATCGAAATCGATTTTAGTTGATGAAACACCCCCCTGGTGTGCCAGAGGAGTGATGTGCTGCAGTTTAATAAAAGTGGCAGATCCAAGATTTTCTTGGCGGGGGATGGGGGGGCAACTATGGAATGGGGTCACATACAAATCTGTGTTGGATTATACTTTTAATTACATAGTTTCTGTTTTCGTCAATTTGCTTGAGCCTACTCAAGAATGCAGACTACAAGGAAGTTAAAAGCTATGCCTGGCAAGTTTCTGAGTCAAGAGCAAAGTTAAGGTCGAATGCCTACAAACATGTACAGCTCGCCAACCTTTCACCAAACACGAGGGAGTGGATGTGCTATACAAAGTGCCCGGGGTATGCAAGTAGGTGAGGTGCCTGCTAGTGGCAGAGGATTTTACATTGACCTGGAAAGTCTTCAAGTCAACATCAAACTGCCAACATCAAACTGCCAAAGTGTGCCAAGGGTGGAGAGGACATTGCAAACATCGTGGCAACTGCAGTGCAGGCAGCTTTTCAAGCAGCTATTCCTGCTATCGTCCAGGTAGTTGTGAAGGTGTGTGTGGAGTCGGTGAGGAAGAGGGTCAACCCTCATCTTCTACGCACACAATTCCGGATCTATGGACTTGACAAAAAGTCAAGGATGGACTCCCTACGAGTGAGTGTGCTACCAGAGCAGGAGGGGAGAGTCCAGACTCAGAGGAGGAGATGAGATAGAAGATCTGTAAGCCAGCAGGAGAAGTTGGAGTTGGGTTAAAGCCTGTTGCATCTTGCCACAGTCTTGGGACAAGCCTAGATCGGCAGCAAAGCCACGACAATGCATGGTGCGATTCATTGCCCAGTGAAAGCGAGACGAGATGTACAACGCCAGATTTAGGCTGAAGGAGAAGGCCTCCTACAAGAGGGTTTTCATCAATGAGGGTTTGATGCCAAGGAAAGAGATACATCAGAGGTGCTGCCAATGAGTGTGCAGCCAACGGATGAAAGAAATCAAGATGGTAACAGAGGTGTGGGACTAGACACTGATCCAGAAACTCAGAGATCGGACAGACCTGATGATGAGATACATCAGATGGGCTGCCAGTGAGTGTGCAGCCAACTGACGAAAGAAATCAAGATGGAAACAGCGGTGTGGGACTAGACACTGATCCAGAAACTCAGGAGTCGGACAGACCTGATGACACAACAGAGGTGCTGCCAATGAGTGTGCAGCCAACTGATGAACGAAATCAAGATGGAAACAGCGGTCTAGGACTAGACACTGCTCCAGAAACTCAGGAGTCGGACAGACCTGATGAAGAGATACATCAGAGGTGCTGCCAATGAGTGTGCAGCCAACGGATGAACGAAATCAAGATGGTAACAGAGGTCTGGGACTAGACACTGCTCCAGAAACTCAGGGGTCGGACAGACCTGATGATGAGATACATCAGAGGTGCTGCCAGTGAGTGTGCAGCCAACTGATGAAAGAAATAAAGATGGAAACAGCGGTGTGGGACTAGACACTGATCCAGAAACTCAGGGGTCAGACAGACCTGATGAGATACATCAGAGGTGCTGCCAATGAGTGTGCAGCCAACTGATGAACGAAATTAAGATGGAAACAGCGGTCTAGGACTAGACACTGCTCCAGAAACTCAGTAGTCGTACAGACCTGATGAAGAGATACATCAGAGGTGCTGCCAATTAGTGTGCAGCCAACGGATGAACGAAATCAAGATGGTAACAGAGGTCTGGGACTAGACACTGCTCCAGAAACTCAGGGGTCGGACAGACCTGATGATGAGATACATCAGAGGTGCTGCCAGTGAGTGTGCAGCCAACTGATGAAAGAAATAAAGATGGAAACAGCGGTGTGGGACTAGACACTGCTCCAGAAACTCAGGGGTCAGACAGACCTGATGAGATATATCAGAGGTGCTGCCAATGAGTGTGCAGCCAACTGATGAACGAAATTAAGATGGAAACAGCGGTCTAGGACTAGACACTGCTCCAGAAACTCAGTAGTCGGACAGACCTGATGAAGAGATACATCAGAGGTGCTGCCAATGAGTGTGCAGCCAACGGATGAACGAAATCAAGATGGTAACAGAGGTCTGGGACTAGACACTGCTCCAGAAACTCAGGGGTCGGACAGACCTGATGATGAAATACATCAGAGGTGCTGCCTATGAGTGTGCAGCCAACGGATGAACGAAATCAAGATGGTAACAGAGGTCTGGGACTAGACACTGCTCCAGAAACTCCGGGGTCGGACAAACAGTATAGTTATAGCTCCCTATATATCAAAAATCAACGGAATGCATCGCAAATTTTTCGCTGACGCTTTCCAAATTCGCTGGCGTCCTGATAGTACACTATACATGTAGTGCCCAGTTAAGAGAGCATGATTTCTCGACTTTAATAATGAGCTGTCATTTGTAGTAATAAAAGAGCTAACAAATAGAACTGGAATTCTGTCACTTATGTTTTGTGTGCATGCATTGATGGTTAAATAGCGAGAGATAGACTGAGAAGAAAATACAAGAGCAGCAAGATCGAGAGCAGTGTCCTCAACAGTTTTAATAAATTTTCTTGCAATATTATCATTTTAAGAGATGTTCAAAGCTAGACCATGATCCACAAAGGCTTCAGAATAAGATTAGATTAACAATCAACACAACAATTGATAGCAATTCAAATTTTCGGAAGATATGATAAATTTACTCAACTATTCTCCTAATTTTTTCCCATTTCATTTTTTAATTCTAGGGATCACTGCGATTTGATGAAGGCTGTGATCGGAGAGAAGTACATTGTGCAACCTGTACATGCACAGCAAGCACCAGACCTCGGTCTCCCTCTGTCTTTGCACCTGGTATGCCAGAGGAGTGATGTGCTGCAGTTCAATAAAAGTGGCAGATCCAGGATTTTCTTGGCTGTGGACCATTCATTCAACAAAATATGTGAAAAATAACTGTTTCCAACAAAAGATAGGAATATCATAAAAATGATTTCTGATCGTTCGAAGGATGGAATTTGGACATGCTCAAAGGAGGCAACCTCAGGAATTTGAAGTATATCGAAGGCGACGGTACTATTTTCTGTTGTGTGCTATAACGTTTGCCTCACCGTGGAATGGAGTGTGTGGATGAAGGAGCGATCTGGACATTTCTGGGAGAGGATAGTGGAAGGGAGATTCACGGCAAGAGACTTTAAGGAAAATTTCTGTGTGAATAAGGCAACATTTGATTTTCTGTGTGGTGAGCTAGCACCTGCTATTCATCGCCAAAACACTCAATGGCGCAAAGCAGTTTGTGTCAGGAAGAGATTGCAATTACTCTGTGGCGTCTGTCCACAAAATGTGAGTATCAAACAATCAGGCATCTTTTTGGGGAAGCAAGATGTACCACCAGTGTCATTGTCAATGACACCTGCCTTGTAATTGTATAAGAACTGATGAGGAGGTACATTACCTTTCCTCCTGGAGATACGTTACTGGCAACCATTCAGGGGTTCGAAGACATGGGGTTTCCCCCAAGTAGCAGGGGCCATTGAAGGAACCCACATCCCTATAATTGCACATGTCAATTATCGTAAGGGATGGTACTCTATCATCCTCCAGGCAGTATGTGACAATACGTACATGTATATGTTCACAGATATAATGGTAGGCTGGCCAGGACGCGTCTTATTCTTTCACAACCAATCGAGCCCAGATTCCCATTATCTCATGAATATTGATTATGCAGGGTTGGAAAAGTCTTGATTCTCTTGAATATTACACAAGGCAAACTGTGAATTCTTCTATGTTGCCTATCCCAAGACGAAAAAAGCAGCTCCACACAGTTTGGGTCACTGTGTAACCATGAACATCTCTCTGGGAAAAACACAGAGTGCTAAATAAACAGCTGCAAGCTCGTTTCCAAAAGGAGTTAGAGGAAAATCAACATCGGAATACC